GCAGTAATAAAGATGCGGATTCCCAGGCCCGCCTCCATACACACGTTCTTCGGAGGCAGGGCTAATCCGTCCTTCAGGCCATCTCTGGAAAACTAAACGAATTCGGGTCTCCATTTGACAGAGGGAGGAAACCGTGGGAAGGGAGTGATCAGCTTTTACAGGAGGCATCCCCCGCAAAATGAGTTTATGCAGGAAACTTAGACCAGACAGAAAACTGTGAATATGCCACAGCTGGAGTTCTCTGAATTTTCAGACGCAGCAGGCAATTCACTGGAAAATCGACAGCTCTTCCAGAAGGTGGCACAGCTTAGTGGGAAAGGGCAAGGGCAAGCAGCTTCAAATAAACCTGAGAGTGTCCCTTACCCTTTCTCAGCCTCAGCTCTCCTTTCTAGAAAATGCGACACTAGCAGGATTTCCCCCGTAGTTTGTGGACCAAATTAAATGGAGTCAGATGTACGAAGTGGTCTGCACAGGGCTTGGCTCATGACGTGTGCTGAACTGATTTAAGACGTGCCCATTACTGTTGTTAAAGGTAATTCATAATAGGTTTAAACTGTGAAATAAAAACAAAAAGCTGAGATTCTGTGATACGTATCCACACCCCTTTTAACCGAGGTGACAAAGCTATTTAGATCAGGGCATTCTTTTCAGGAAGGATTAAATGATTGTTCAGCAGAGTATGGATGATACAAAAAAAAAAAAAAAAATTCAGAAATAAGCAAGGAGAAGTTGGCAAATCATCAGTCTTGACCTGCTGACAGTCACGGCCTAAAGAAGAAACAAGGCGTGCTGCTTTCTACCAGAATTACGAGTAAGCAGCACATTTCTCGTGACCATGGCCACGCTCAGGCAAGCTTAGGAAGTGACTTGTTCTCTCGTCCCAGCTTTCTGAGTTCTCAGTGGTTGGCGGCACTGTTTGTGGCCTGGGCTCTGCCTGTGCACAGGAGCTGTTTGCTTGCACTCGGGAGGGTCAGGATGGCAGCGGGACCCTTCTGGGAAGGGCGTGGCTCCAAATGCCTAGGAGGGGGTGAGCCACTGGGTCCAGGAATCCTGGGAATGGTTTCCTTCCATCCCCCAATACCGATGGGCTGCCCCTGCCATACCTCCACCCTCACCCCCAAGCCAGTAGTTTCTAAATCATTGGTGTGTCCCATACCCAGTTCTTGGGATTATGGTAAGGAGGCCTGAGGAGGGTCCTAGGCTCTATCGTTAAGCCACATTGAGGATCTGGGGCTTTGAGAGAGCCTGGGCTAGTTCTGTCCTGCACGACAGTATCTGCTGCCCCACTTGCCGCTCCTTGCTGTTCCCTGCATCCCTACCAAGAGCACAGTTTCGTCTGCTCTGTGTCTTTCATAAACTTCTCAAAGGTGACAGCTAGGTCTTAAACTTTTCGGCATTCTGCTATGTGTTAGGCAAATGGCATGAATTCGGTGAAAACTTTTTGAATATAATATTCTGATACAACGTTTCAAAAAGTCAGTATCTTTCAAGTGATCTTGAAAAATCTACAGTCTACCTCGTACATCAGAAGAGGAGGCGTGAATGCTTTTGGGCACACAGTCCCTGGTGAAATGTCTTCTGTTTTTAGCGGGTTCCCTCGTTGGGCACGAGCAGTTGCGGAGATACGAACTCAAAGCCTTGTGGGTACCGGAGCCAAAGGCACGGCTCTTTGAAATCAATGAGCCCCACGCAGAGGCTGGCGGGCTGTCGATTTCAAATCAAGATCGGGGGACTGAGGGCAGCTTAGCAAGACTGATGGGCAGAGACGGCAAAACTGGGACTGTCCAGTAACCAGTGGCTGCCCCACATTGTTTTCTAACTTTAAAACCGCTTCCATGACGAGATCCTACGGTGACCTGGTGTGGAGGGTTGAAAGGTGGCCCCAAGTAGATACGCTCATGTTCTAACCCCACGAACCTGTGGATGTGGTGAATGTGACATCTGGCAAAAAGCAGTCTCTGCAGATGTAATTAAGTTAGTGATCTCGAGATGAAGCCATCATCCTAGATTATCCTAGATTCACGACAAGTGTCCCTATGAGACACAAAAGAGAGAAGGGGAGAAGGCCCTGTGGAGATAGAGGCGGAGTCTGGAGGGGTGCAGCCACCAGCCAGGGAACCCCTGGAGCCACCGGAAGCTGGAGGGGCATGGGAGCCTCTCCCCCAGGGCCTTCAGAGGGGGCGTGGCTGTGTGGGCCTCTTGATTTTGGACTTCTGGCCTCCAGAACTGTGAGAGGATAAACTTGCGGTGTTTTATACTACTTTGTCCCTCCGGCACCAGGAAGCTAAGACACTGGGTCTTCACGTTTATATAATGAATTCTTTCTGTACTTTGTACTCGTGTTACTCACATCTTCACCAAAAAGTGACAAACGTGCAGGGAACTTTCCTGCTGGATTCAAAGATGTCCTCCTGGTAAAAGGATAGTGAAGATACGTGAGGGAGATTTAGAACTGCACACTAGGGTAAAATGACGCCATTTCTAGATGCCATTGCCCTGGGTTACCGGGTTACTGGTTGGTCTGAGAGCTCTGCCCTTTGTGCCCCAACAAGCGGCAGGGTTAAGCTGGGAGTCCCAGACGTTCTGTGCCTTGGTTTTAGTTGCTGTTTAAAAACCTTCACCATCCTCAACCTAAGATCGCATAAGCATTTACTTCACCTGGGAGAGGGGCTGTAAATCGCTCTGCATTCACACTTGGTTTTGGTTCGCCAAGTTCTGTGACTGTCCTTGCTGACCATCACATGCCTGCGTGGTTGTGTCTGTGGGAAAGTCCCAACACTGCAGGGCTGGGCTCCCGGCCGTGGCTTCCACCTTTGAAGATGCCCCACCCACTTGCCTGTTCCATTCTCAATTTCCGCCTATGTAGCAAAAGAGTCTTGCATTCGTTCATTCAATATTTTATTTATTTTTGAGAGAGGGAGAGAGAGAGAGAGAGAGAGAGAGAGAGAGAGAGAGAGAGACACAGGGCGAGTGCGTGAGCAGGGGAGGGGCAGAAAGAGGAGACACAGAATCCAAAGTAGGTTCCAAGCTCCGAGCTGTCAGCACAGAGCCCGATGTGGGGCTCGAATCCAGGAACCATGAGATCATGACCTGAGCCAAAGTCAGACCCTTAACCGACTGAGCCACCCAGGTGCTCCAGGAGAGCCTTGCTTTCAAAAACGCACATCTTATCAAATGGAGCCCAGTCCCTCCCTGCCAAAGTCAGTGCTCTTCCAAAGGGAAACAAAGCCTAGTTAGGGCTTCAGACTTCCATCAACAACTTGGAACCCAACTGCCTCATTTCCAACGTTTCTGGAGCACCTCCCCACTTGACTGAAAGTAAACAGAGCCTCCACAGTCAGATTCCTTTGATCCTTGAGACATTCAAAGGGCTGTGATGGGCTATAGGCCTTGACCATGACCAGAGCCAAGGTGGTGGGTGGTGGTGGTACGGAGGGGTAAGGGTGGAACCCCGGCCGAGCCTCCTCGGGTCATCTCCCTTCACTCCTGCCCCCTATAGTCCATTTTCCATCATGCAACCAGAATGAAAATACAAGTTCATACATTAAAACAAGTCAAACCGAGTCACTCCCCTGCTCCAGTACTCTCCCAGCTCAGGCTGGGAGAAAATCCAAAACCCTTGCCTACAAAGCTCCCACAGATGGGCTTCTGGCTGTCCTCTAACGTCAAGTTCCACCAGCACATTCTGTACCCCAGCCTGGGGCCCCGGAAATTCCTTGACAGGTGAGGAAAACTGGGGCAGGTGTCCAGGGAGAACAGTACCCAGGGTGAGATGAGGAGGGCCAGGATGGGGGCAGTGATGGGAAGGCACTTTCTGCTTCTGTCTACTCCTACAAGGCTCATGCCACCTGCACCCACATTCTTTTCCTTCTCAAGTCACTGTCCCTGACTTGTTTGTTGAGCAAGTTGTTCAAGGATTGTTGAAAGACTGGCTCCTGGCCTTCTGCTCCAGCAATTACTTGACTAATGCGAGACGTCACAGTCCACGGGACTGACCCAGTCAAACAGCAGCTTCAAAATTCCAGGAGCTCCTTTTAATGCCAATGGCCTTCACTCCTGTGTGCTCTGCTGTCTGTCCCAGGAGAGCGGACAGGCCCCCATCTCTTGTTCCTCCCTTCAGAAACCTCACACTCCAACATTCCACCTGTTCATTGATGTGCTTTCTGATCAAGGTTTCGTGAGACACCTGCGGGCGGGCCCCCGACACTGCCATCCTCTCCTGGCCAATCGGCAGCTCCCTCCTCACGCCCTCCCCTGTTTAGCTGGCGGGTGGTAACCAGGGGCTCCTAGAGCTGGATGGGCATCAGAGTCAGCGGGGAGCTCTCTGAGCTCAGATGACGGCCCCATCTCAGATGTGTGACTCCACAGGCCTCTTGGATGCCTGGACTGGCCACCCAATCCATCCTGAAACACTCCTCCGTTCCGATTCCCGTGGCGCTACATTATCCTGGTTCTCCTCAAGCCTCTCTGGTCACTTTCTGTCCTTCTCAGAGGCCCTGCTTCTTGCTCCCACTCCTGACATGCTGGTCTGCCCCTCTGTCCTCAGCCCCTCACTCTCTCTCTCTCTCTCTTTCCACCCTTTGCTTCGTTAGGCATCTCTTCGCCTGCTCTGACGGTTTCAGCCATCACCGGTGTGCCGATGACTTGCAAACCCACCAGTCTTCCCTTCTACTAGATAAGGCACATGAAAATTAAGAAGCTGGACAGGTGGGTGATTACTACTGAGGCGGGCACACCTTTGGATGTTAGGAAGGCTCCTGACATGTGCCCTCGTGTTATATCCTGATCTCTTTTCTGTTCACCGACAGCTCTATCTGTGACAGGTAGCTAGGGCCACAGTGCTCTTCAGGACCGCTGGAAGCAGACTGGCCAACACTCTCATAAACATAGTATCGTAGTATCGACCAAACCACACAGTCATGTGTCATTGCAAAGGCTAAATGCATCAATGGCCCATCTCTCCTTTCTACTTCTCCCCCACCCCCTCATGTGGTACTTACTCCCAAGTACTCCGTGGTCAGAAGCTTCTCGCCTGAGAGCTCTCCAAGCTGGGGCTGGATCAGCTCGTCTTTGTCCAGATCAGCTTCCATAGTGTCATGGTCCTCCTGTTTCAAAGGACACACGGGGGTCAGTGCTCTGGATCCCCCTACTGCACATTCCCAGACAGCTGGGTCCCCAAGTGGGCACCTGCCAACGGAACGAGAAGGCGTCTGCCCAACCACAGCAACTGGTGGGTTTGCATTTCAAACGGCTTCAGGGGCAGTCTGTCCTCTGCTCATAACCTGAACCATGAAGCCAAAAGGGAAAATACCAGCCCACCTCTTTCGGAAGCTGGGCACCTATGGACACCTCCATGGCCACAGGTGTGAAGAGGTTCAATGAGACACTTAACAGTCTCCCTCAGTCACAGCTCTCAGAATTTCTCTGGGAGGTCAAGGGACCATAAGAATAGCCAGGCCAGTCCACCAAGAACTATGAAGCACCTTCACAGGCACAGGCCTTCAGCAACTGTACGTTATAGGCTTGTTGTTCTCAAGCAGTTTACAGTCAATAAGTAAGAAGACTCATCAAAAAGAGAAGAGCTGTTTTGCTTTTGGGAAGATGGAGTGGATATACTTTTCCCTATTCCTCCCACCAAATACGGCCTCAAAACACTGGACGTTAAACATAAAATAAACACAAGAGACCCTGAAAGACAGAGAGAAGGAGGCAGACTGGCTGGGTCCCCAAAGACACAAGGAGCGAAAGGTGCTGAGTTCCCTGGGGTTCCTTGGTTCCTTACAGATTCCACACTCGGGAGCTGAAGAAGCCAGCAGCCCAGCAACGTTTGAGTGGCGAAGACAAAAAAGTCTCCCCAGAGCCTGCTCCTCTGGCTGAAGGATCGGGAAAGGGAGGGCCTAGCAATGACAGAAGTTTTAGAAAATAACCAAACACCACAGAAAATATTGTGGCCCCGTCCCAACCACACCTGCCAGGGCCTTCGGGAGTCCAGGCTTCTGCCCTCACTGGGCTGTCATCAGGCACCCCCACATCCTCAGCTGGGGTGACACGAGTAGGGAGGGGGAATTTCATCCCTCCTGGGCAGTAATGAGGTTCCCCCATCCCCAGGAGAGAGTGGAGACCACGTGGAGAGCCCAGCCTTCCAGCCGACAGTGACGAGCTACCCCCTCTCCATGCTCTGATGCCGTCGGAGGAGGCCTGGTGGAGATTCATGCTTTTACCACTGCCCACATCTTTCTGTGGTGCCAGGGGAGGCTCTGTGGGCAGCACTAATGAGGCACTCCTTCCTGTTCTAGTTAGAGAGATACTAGTCGAGGCTGCGTAGGGATCCGGAACTCCCACCCCTGTCTTGCAGTAACAAGGAGTCTCTTCCCATCCCCTACCACCCCTGGGTGTCAACAGAGGCTGAGTGTAAATCCTGGTCTTCTATTCACACCTGGCGGCAATGAGGAGGAGACTCACGCTGACAGAGCAGTATCAGAGGTACTGTTGAGCCAGCTAAAACAGAAGGTTTCAATTAGATCAAAAGTCTTACAATCCTCAAAATATCTGGGCTTAAATAAAAAATCACTCATCATACCGGGAACCAGGAAGCTCTCTCAAACTGAACAAAAAGAGACGATCAATAGATGCCATCAATTACTTGGAGATGCTACTAGAATGATCTGACATAGATTTTAAAGCTGTTATCACAAAAATGCTTCAGTGACCAATTACATTCTTGAGACAAATGAAAAATTAGGAAGTCTCAAGAACATAGAAAAAGAATAAAATAAACCCAAAGCAAGCACGAGCAAGAAAATAATGAGAACAGATATCAGGCCTGGGTAGGCGCGAGCCGAGTTCGCGTCGACTTCAGCTCGCGATCTCGCGGTCCCTGGGTTAGAGCCCGCGTCAGGCTCTGGGCTGATGGCTCAGAGCCTGGAGCCTGTTTCATTCTGTGTCTCCCTCTCTCTCTGCCCCTCCCCGTTCGTATACTGTCTCTCTCTGTCCCAAAAATAAAAAGTAAAAAAAAAGTTGAAAAATAATTAAAAAAAAAAAAAAAAAAAAGAACAGATATCTGTGAAAAGGAAGAGAATAACAAGATAGGTCAAAGAAAAAAGCTGGTTCTTGGAAAAGATTAATAAAATTATCCCTGACCAATGTCAGGAATGAAACAGAAAGATATTACACTACAGATCGGAGATATCAAAGGAAGAGGGATCACTATGGTAATTCTGCACACATGGGACCGTGCCTAGGAGATAAAACACAAACTATCACAAACCTCAATATGAAATTTTGATATAATTTTAGATAACTTGAAAAGTCCTATTACTACTAGAGTTATAGTTTAAAATTCCCTGAAAATCTCTAGTACTGGTCTCACTGGAGAATTCTATCAAACTTTTATTTATTTATTTATTTATTTATTTATTTATTTGTTTATTTTCCCAATTTTTTTCAACATTTATTTTATTTTTTGGACAGAGAGGGCAGGTATGAGCGAGGAGGGGGGCAGGAGAGAGGAGGAGACCTGGGGCTGAGCAGGCTCAGATACAGGCCATCAGCCCAGAGCCCGGCAGCAGAGACTCGAACTCACGGACAGGATGCGTGACCTGGCTGAGAGTCAGGGCAGCTCAGAGCCTAAGCCACCCCTCTATCAAACTTTTAAAAAAATATCACCAATTCTATATGTTTTCAAGAAAACAAAACAGGAAGGAATACTTCTTATTTCATTTCATGAAGGTTTTGTGTTACCAAAGCCAGAGAAAGCCAGTACCATAAAAAGAAAAATATAAACCAAAGTCCTTCATGAATAAAAATGCAAAAATCCTTAACAACCAAGCTAAGAGAAAGGTAAAAAAAATCCTCAGCAAAATCTTAACAAACAGAATAGAGCAACAGATCAATTATGTTAAAAGAATTATACGCCATGACCAAGTGCAATTTGTTCCAGCAGTGCGAGTCCGGTTCAATATTTAAAATTTAAACATTGTAATCCATAATATTGAGGGGTTTGTGAAGAAAAAAAATCATATGATCATAGTAATGGATGGAAAAAAGGCATGAAAAAACTCAACATGACAAAAATTCTCAGAAAAATAGGAAAAGAGGAGTACTCGATAAATAATGTATAGCTGACATTACACTTAATGATCAAAGACTGGAGGCTTTCCCCCTTAAGACTGGGGACAAGGCAAGGATTCCTGCTTCTATTCATTCTTATTCATTCTTAGTGCTAGAAATTCTAGCCAGAGCAATAAGGCAAGAAAAAAAAAAAGGAAATAAAAAGCATATAGATCAGAGAGGAAGAAACAGAACTGCCTCTATTTGCCCCTCCCCTGCTCACTCACTCTCTCTCAAAATAAACAAATGAACATTAAAAAAAAAAAACAAAACTGTCTCTACTTGGAGATGCCATGATTGTCTATGTAGAAAATCCCAAGGAATCAACCCCTCAAAAATCCTAGAACTAATAAGTGAGTTCAGCAAGGTCACAGGATACAAGATAAATATATGAAAATCAATTTCTATATACTAGTGATGAACTTAAAACACTGAAATTAAAGATACAGTATCATTTATAATTCACACAAAATAAAAATTCTTAGGTGTAAATCCAGCAAAACATGTATAGGACTTGTAGGCTGAGAATTATAAAGTGCTAATGAAAGAAACTGAAGATCTAAATAAATGGAAAGACCTACCTTGTTCACGAACTGAAAGACTCAACATAGTTGTTAGTTCTGCCCAAATTGGTACATAAATTTAATGTAATTTCTATCAAAATCCCAGAAGGATTTTTCTGCAGATATATACAAAATTATTCTAAAATTTATATGGAAAGGGCAAAGGGACTAGAACAGCTAAGACAATTTTGAAAAATAAGAATAAGGTGGGAAGAATCAGTATACCCAGTGTCGAGACTTCTATAGGTACAGGTTTCAAGACTATGCGGTAGAGGGACAGACATAGAGATCAACAGAGCAGAATAGAGAACCTTAAAACAGATGTACACAAACATGTACAACTGATTTTTTGAAAATATTTATTTATTTTTGAGAGAGAGAGCACGAACAGGAGAGGGGCAGGGAGAGAGGGAGACAGAGAATCTCAAGCAGGCTCTGCAGAGCCGGACGCAGGGCTCAAACTCACGAACCATGAGATCACAGTCTGAGCCAAAATCAAGAGTCAGGAGCTTAACTGACTGAGCCACCCGGGCACCCCTGCCCAACTGATTTTTGACAAAGGTGTAAAAGCAGTTCAATGGAGGAAGGACTGCCTTTCCAATAAATAGCACTGGAACAACTAGACATGCATAGGAAAAAAATGGACCTCAATCGAACTCTCGTGACTTATCTAAAAATTATTTTAAAATGGATCATGGACTTAAATGTAATACTATCCAATTGTTAGAAAAAAATAGAAGGAAGTCTTAAAGATCCATGAGGCAAAGAGTTCTGGTACCTGACACCAAAAGCACATTCCATAAAAGGAAACATTTGATCAACTGGGTTTAATTGAAAACTAAAAAATCTTTTGCTGCAAGACCCTGCGAAGAGAATAAAAAGCTACAGACTGGGAGAAGAGATTTGGAAACTACATATCTGATAAAGGACTAGTATCTGATTATAGAACATACCAGAAACTCCCAACACTCAACAGGAAAAACCCAAACAATCCAATTAGAAAATGGGCAAAAGACATGAAGAGACCAAAGAGGATCTATGGGTGGCAGATAAGCACCTACAAATATTCAACATCATTAGGCATCAGGAAAATGTAAATTAAAACCTCAATGAGATGGCACTCTTCATCTGTCAGAATGGCTAACATGAGAAATGCTGGTGAGGGGGCGCCTGGGCGGCTCAGTCGGTTAAGCTTCTGACTCTTAATTTTGGCTCAGGTCATGATCTCATGGTTTATGGGTTGGATCTCCGCTTCTGGCTCTGCACTAAGAGCATGGAGCCTGCTTGGGATTCTCTCTCCCTCTCTCCGCCCCTCCCCTGCTCTCTTTCTCTCTCGAAATAAATAAACGTATTAAAAAAAAAAAATGCTGGAGAGGATGCAGAGAAACTGGATCCCTCATACACTGCTGGTGGGAACACAAACTTGTCCAGCC